CAGAAGGTTATGGAGGCGAGATTTAGTGGATAAGGCCGTGCCTTTTGAGGGAGCTCTCAGAGGGATCTGAGCTGCAGTAAGCTGCTGCTAAAGAACTGATCCGCCTTCACCAAACACATGCTCAAACATGAGATTTTATTAAAGCGAAGACAGCCAAAAACTTTCAACACCAGAGGCAGAGATCTGAGTAGCACTCCAGCCCAATTATGTTAGCACGAAGGTATCAGCAGTCACCTGCGAGAGATTCAACTTATCAAAGCTTTCTCAGGCACCACTATGAATACCAAAGAATAATGCTGGTGACTGATCAGACACGAGATTACAAAGTATGACTGAGGTATCTGATACTGATCACGCTGAGTTTCCTGTCTGGAGTCTTCCACTGATACTCGATTAGATTTTATATAAAACATGGATACAGCCACCATGAGCCCACACACACGAATGGCATGCTGATTTGACTAGCAAGACACAGGCTTGTTTACTGGAAAAACTAAACAGACTCTTTAGAACTGTTGCTCAGTAAGAAAAAAATGACATCCGTGTCACCCAGAGCCTCAAGGCCTTAATTATTCATAACTTTAACGTGTAAAACAATTTAAATGTGTAATTTACATAAAAATACATTCCCTTACAAATGTCAGGAAAGGAAAATGAGGGGCAAAGACCACTGTTTTTACCAGGAAAGATGTTTGTTTCTGATATAAATGTGAGCCTTTGAACATGAAAGTCTGTGAAGATTGAATTGAATTTGAATCAAACCAATAGTGGTCGAACGTTTCAAGCCCTACTATGTTCACTTTGTTTTGAACCATGGAGTGTGCTACTTGACTAAAATCTACACAATTAGAACATCTTAAAATATTATCAAGCAATTAATACCTTTAGTAAGCATATATATATATACATATAACCAATACTTGTAAATGTTAATGTTATCAGCATTAATTTGCGCTTGTAGGCTGTCTGTGAGATGTATGCATGTAACTCAAGCATATAGCTCTTAACCGCTAACGTTTTATTTTCTACCTAGTATTTAAATGTTTTCTCTTAGGGTAAAGCCTATTCTTTTTCTTTGGTCTTTTTTACACTTTGCTTTCTGTCTTTTAATCATTTTCTTCAAGCAGCCACGAGCTAGCACTAGAAACTGAATTGATATGAGCTCACTTTTGAGCCAGAAAAAAATTCAATGTTGCTGGCAACATAGGGCTAGGTTTTGACTACGTTACTGATATTATTGAAAGGACATTGTGTTCTTGTTACCAAACGTGCCAGTCACGTTTAAACCTGCGTATCCTTGCACACAAATAGCCAGGTGTCATGTAAAGAAGATGAGTAACTGTTTTGCTAAACCTGCAGGCCCGGTTTTTATATACAGTCAAAGAGTAACCCATACCACCTTCACGTGGCACTAACCCTGCCATCTTTCCACTAGCTTGGTGTTTTTACCTAAAATAGCATGACAACATTTTCATGAACGCAGTTTTGAATGCAGAGTCTGCACGGCTTTGTGGAGATAAAGGAAGACTAAAAATATTACTGCAGAGCTTCCATTCATAAAAAATACTACTCTATGTAATGACATATACCTGAGCGGCGATCAAGTAGGAGAAGTAATGTGATGGTCCACTTGGTTCAACCATCTGGACAACATCTATCACATTTTAAAAACGGCTGCTTGTAAAGGTCACCTGTTCAGCTTAGTGAACCCTTTGTTCTGGGAACTTGAGTTGAAAGTGACGTCACATCCCAGAAAGCCTAAAAGAACGTTTCTGCCATTGAATGGGATGCCCGTATGTAAAAATCCTCACATTTTGTCCCCCAGTATTGGCAGCATTTGCAACTGCGTCACCTGCTGTGTACTGTTGTGATAGTCGCTGTCCTCCCTCCTTCTCTCTCAGCTCGGAGCTCTGCAGGGTGAAAACACTGGTGTTCGCCTCACATGTTTATTATGATGTGCAGACAGTGTATAAGCAGCTGTCTGTCTAGAAGTGGATGAAGCGCAGGGCCAAGTTTCCATTAAGGCACGAGTTGTGTCCAAAGAGGGCTTACACAGAAGAAGGTGATTCCCAGCACCGGTTTGCAGAGTTTGTCCTCTTTGTGTTTGGACTTTACAGCTGCACTCATTAACCCTTCCAGGTGATTTTCTTTCGTGCTTTATGGCTGTCGGCACCGAGCCAAGTGCCGACAGCCATCCTAAAGTTAGCATGGAGCTCCAAACCCTTAATGAAAGATTTGCTCTAGACCATAGGGGGGAAAAAAATCCCTAAGAGCCATTCTGGCTGCTTCACACGCACTCGTTCCAAAACAAATAGGTGCTAAAAATAAATTAAAGAAAAGCTTTGGATAGTGTTTGCTTAGAAATTGACTTTCTATATTTTAGCACCAATGTGTGCTACTTGTCTAAAGTTCATCTCATAAACACAAGACAAAATCCCAAGTGGGCAGCTGCAGACACATTCTGCAAACTAACACAAGCTACTATCACCTTTATTTCAAAGCTAGTTTGTCTGCTCTGAAGCACCTGATACTGGTTATTCCTACGTGCTAGGAGAAGCTGATTAATTATTGAAATGAATCGTCAAAAAAAATTATATCATTAGTAAATTGCAGGCTATTTATCATGAATCAGGACACAAAGAAAACACAGATAAATATATATATATGTATTTGTACGAGAGACTCTCCTTTATTCTTCACTGGACATGAGGATACATACATTGTTGAGCACTATTCACAAGTAAGTGCCATTTCTCCTAGTTACGTAATCTAAAGAGGCAGCTTTAGTATCTCAGATGAGGAATTGATAAATCTTTTTTTTTTCTTCAGGCTGATGCCTCCGCAGAGCCAGTTCCGCTTTACTGACTTTTAACAGTCAGCCCATATAACAGAGAACCAATCATTCAAGCGTTGGAGTTACGTAGCACAAGTGTTGTAATTTCCACAGGACACAAGGCATTTGCTTTGGGATTATGGGTGTAGCTAACACCAGTATCAGCAAATATTAGCCTTCTAAACCATCGGGCTATTTTCGTGATGTAAAATGGACAAGAAATAAACAAAAGGTCCTGGACTTGCTTTGGTATTGAGTTTACCATCCTTGTGTCAAAGACTACATGAAAATGTCTGGTGGCACGAGCTTTCTATCATTTTCTGCATGTACCAAGAACTGCCAGTGTGCTTACCCATGGGGGTATGTACTGTGGAACTGGGGTACTGTGACACAAGAGATCACAAGGTAAAAAAAAAAGTGCCCCCTATAGCATGACTGGTGGAGTGTGTTATCTGTGGAGCATCCTGTGAGTGTCTGTCTATGCCCTTGTTTAGACATTGGATGTGTAATATTGCTGGCTTAAATCCCACTGATGTCATCCTGTCTTTTAAACAGGTACATTTTATGTTAATGTTCCCTGTGGATTCCGAGAGACAGATGCATGAAAATTTCGGAGTCCAAGAATGGAAAGTACATAAAATGGCACATGAGGTCATCACAGTGTATGCTCACTGAGTGCTCATTGAACACATAATGTAGCAATGTGTGCTATCCTTTGTGCAGCCAGGCCTGAGCTGGGTGATTTGAATACTTTATTGGCATTTGGTGTGACAAAGTAAGACTATTGCCGTAACTTTTTACTAAGACGGGTTAAGATGCCATCAGATTAACAGAAAGGAGAGGTAATGGCCATGTGAAGTCCCCAACTTTAGGCCTCATCTTGAGTATACAAGTGAAAGCGAAAGGTTCTGCATTGTCACTTATCTCTGACCCCTATTTCCTGTATTTTTCTGTATCAGCAAAGCTAAGATGAGAATAGTATATACTGTCTATTTATGCTTAGTCTGCTGGGCCCTGGGATAGCAAAAACCTCTCCATGGCAACTGATTCTGCTATGTTGTTGTTTTGGCATATTAACAGGAAGTACAGGTTGCTGGCTTACTCATAACAGTGATCCTGTCCAAGTGAAAAAAATAAACAGTGGTGCATACTGGCAGCCTGTTTCATTAGCTCAAGCATTTTGCTCTAAATTTGCCTCCATAATTGCTAACTCAGTGGCTTGAGACTCAGGTCCTGGCACATCTTACACAAAGGCTCGAAAGGTTTTGTGTCAGGTGGGCTGACAGAGGATGCCATTTTCAGCACATTCTACTATGGAAAGCTGCTCATTGTATTTTTATCGTCATTATTTATTCATTTGTTTATCATGTGCAGATATTTAATTCTCGGAGTCATAAAAGTCGTAGCTGGTCACTGGCAGCAGAGGATGATAAATTTCATGGGTCCACAGGGGCAGTACGGGCAGTCAACAACATAGAGGACAACACTAACCCATAAAAACTCTGAAAGAAATACAAGAGGACATGATATTGCTCAAGAGGCAGACAGAGCCAGCAACAATTCATTGTGGCACCAATAAAATAAACACAAAAGCCGTTTGTTTATATAGTGGAGGCCAGTACAGAGTCAGGGAAAATGGGTAAAAACTACACCTAATCTAATCTGCATCTACAACAAATACCCACATATGCAGATGATGTCACCTACATAGTAATAACTTTTATTTTGCATCTTCAATTGTTCAGTCAATCACTTTTCTCTCAACACCACAGTAATAACCATAAAGTATGAAGCTAAAACATGAAAACCACCAGTTTGTTTTCTTCAACTTTTAGCTGTTAGTTACAGCGTGTAACTCTGGAGCTTTCTTCGATTTCATGTTGGTTATGATTATAGGCACTATAAAAGGCACAATAAGTCACAGATGTCAAAAGACCTCTAAAAAGATGCCATACTAGAATGTGGATTGCCCTTTACACTAAATTTTAGTGTCTTTACACAAGAAAAGCTTTAGTCAGTTTGTCAGAAATGGCATCTTTCTTCTAGTCATGTATAAAATCCTTAGAGGCTTAAGTCAAAGGCGTCACTGCCAACTTAAAGCTCACATTTACTCACATAAGCTTACATTTATTTCTGACTTAATGCAAAACACACAAATTAGTTTTTATTAGTTTTTATTAAGTTGGATTTATTAAGTTTTATTGGAAACTACAAACAACATTGATCGGTAGTGTTTTGGATATGAAATGTAAGATGTGGCCAAAGTTGTGTAATGAATTCATACTCTGCAATGGCAGACATGTACTGTATTGGGAAGTCAGACAGAGAGTGCATGCAAAATGCACTGTGTGTAGAAATGAAGGCTGCACCCTTAGCGTTGATGTTAGTCAAAAGTTACAAGAAATTATTAACACATGCTGCACAGTACCGATATTTTTGGACCACGTTACCGGAAAAAAAATTCCCCCCATTGTGAGGCACTGTCCTTATAGTGTTGACATGCCCACATGAAGGTGCACTTTGCCAGCTGAGCCCAGTCCAACAGTGTATTTGTTAAACAAGCACATAATTAAGTTGACAACAGTGTTGATGGGGGTGCATTTTAATCAAAGACTGTACCACAGCAAATCACCTGCTGCTGTGTTGACAAGCGTCCTGTCCTCAACCACGCAAACCCTGTTGCTGCTTGTGTTTAAGCATGCAGATGATCTTCAAAGGAGACCAAAACAGTTAGCATTGCTTTGGCGGCCTTCTCTGCTTTAGTGTACAACTGCTCTCCAAAAGGTGTTTTAATTGTTACTTTGTAAACTTTGTAGAGCAGGTAATAATTTAAATTCCATTGGCTAATGTGGTAACATGCCACATGTGAGCTTTATAATGCATTACTGCCTGTTCATTAGACCTTGGCGGAATGAAACACAGAGAGAAACTTGACCTAAGGCACTGCCAACATTAGATTTTGCACCTTTAAGTGGTGCAAACATACCACATAATAATCCAGGACTGAAAAAATCAAGCGCTGCAAGTCCTTGAAGGGCCACTTGATGTTGGCCTATAAGCCTGTATAGAAAAGACTGACGTAGATTCCAGTTCTGAAAAGTGAACCCAGTGTGGAAATACTTGAAACTGTGATGGTTTCAAATAGCCAGCAGAGAGCAAATCCTGTATAGAATTTTTTCTTTTTTTTATTCAAAGTTCATTTGTGTAGAAATCTATAATATGATATCTTGCTCTGCAGTAACTAAAAACTATCAAGAAACCTGATGAGATTGCGGTCTTTTGGATTGTCTCAAGTCATAATCAATAAAACATGAGGTTAATTTTGTATATTATAATCAGAAAATCATAAAAGGGCTAATTAGACCATTAAATCATCAGAAAAAGTAGTTACAGTGGTCACAGGGAGCTGGTTTTTAAGGGCTTCCTCAGGGCCATTAAAAACCACTTGTCATCTAGTTTCACTTATCATGCCTGCACGCTACATCAGTCATTTTATTTACAGTCTATGGGCTGCCTCCAAACAATCCACATAGACTTGCATGGAAATTTTTTACAGCTCAGCTCTTTACATTTTATTACTTAAAACCTAAAACTTAAAGTTTGCATTATTATGGGTTCACTTTCTCACCCTATTATGGTCTCTTTTTGCTGTAAAAAAAAAAAAATCAAGATAGCGATGGCCATAAAGCTAAAATTGAGTATATTAAATGCCTACGTTACATTTTATCGAGTCTGTGCATCAAGCCCAGTGTGAAGATACTGAAAAATTATAATTTTGGCACAGAATTCTTTAAAATTACCACAAAAAAAAGTTTGTAATGATTGTGTATTTTATTGTGTATTGTGTGAATATCATGTCACATCTTCAGCCTTTGTGAGCCTTGTTAATCTGCTCCAGTGACGCCTGTTCAGCTGCACTACGTTCCAGGAAGGAACAGAGAAGGTACAAAGTCAGGCAGAGAAAATCTCATTTCTCACAATGTCTGATTTCACAAGAAACTGGAAGTTCGTGCCTTCCTTTTTCTGAAACAGCACATATCTGTTACGAGCTTAATTTTCAAGACACCAGATGCCTTTCAGTGATTGAAAAAAAAGAGGATAGCAGGAAACTGCGAGAAATCAATATATTGGTCCGATATCTTTAGAGATTTTTTTTTTCTAATGTCATTTCATAAACTGAAATTAAAACTAGAAGTTAACACTCTTTGTGATCTTTGAAAGGATTTTGTTAAGTGAATGAGCTTAATCTGTACTTAGGTACATACATTCCCATGCATACATGTTTGCATGCAAATGTTTGCATATGTCTGTTATAACATAAAACCCACAACCACGTGCAAACATCCCATTTCTTTTTGAATGAAATGCGTTAAGAACTGTTTCACTCTAAGCGTCTTGAAGCCTTCTATAAATAGACCACAAAACTGTAATCAGAATTCTAAAAGTGACATTGTGAGTGAGAAGGACCTACACCGCAGGGTGGTGCACAACACTGAAAAGTTCACTTAGTTGCAGGTCGGCAAATAAAATAATGTAAATGTGGTTCAATGTAATAATTTAATGTAATTCAAATCCCTAACAAGTTTAACAAGTACTTAAACACTGCAGCAAACTTTGTACTCAAATGGTGACAATGAAAAATAAATAACACAACATTGAACTTTTTAAGTTAACTTAACTATCAGCTCCCTAAGAGTACATTCACACAGTGCGCTTTGGACATCAGCAATCGGGCCTATTCTCATGGTATAAAAGGAGTTTTGACATCCCGGCATGCAATGTGAGACATCCTATTTCTATAATCATTCCACGCCAGAAAACTTAAATAAACAAAATCACAACTCATGACATTTCAGCGTTGTAAGGTTTCTGCTTAGATTTTAGTCTTTACACGCTGCGTCACTAGGCTAGACGTCAGCGGCTAGAAACGGCAAGTTCAGATCCCACACAAAAAATATACATGATTAGGCTTCTTGCAATCACAAAACTATACCATTAATAGTTATTTTTATTGAAACAAACTATTTTTACTTTTTGTAGTTTCAAAACAACCCTAAAGGATATTAAATATCGGCACAAAATAACGCCTATAGACAGCTTAAACTAAAAAAAACCTAAATCATCAGTTTTTCAAACCCCATATCGGTGCAATCTACATTATTTAAAAAAAAAACCAGAAAGTGTCCATGAGTGGCTCTTGCTAGGTGGCCTTCTGCATGCTTTTACTGATGATTGCTTATCAGTGTTAAATCTATAGATTTGTTGTCTTCCTTGGTGCTGTCATCCCGTAACTGGGCGGCTCTTTTCATGACAGCTTATTCTGAATCAGTGACGGTTAAAAACACTACATCTAAAATGCTCGCTCTCTTTCCCTCTTTACACACGCATACACACAGTTTCTCAAGTGTGACCGTGACATGTTACATCCTCTATCCTTATCTGCATAGGAAACACGTCTCCAAAAAAGGCCAAAGGGCGTCTACTGAATGGTTTGCTTACGCAGCTCTACAGTCAGACCGAGAGGCAACCAGCCCGCTGATTCATTCACTGTCAAAAGTGCGCACACAAACTCATGATCCAGTGCGAAAATGCACACTACATGCTTGATATTGAGAAATCTGCCTGTGCTTCTCATTCTTATATAGTCCTCATGTGTGTGATGCTAAGTGTGAGGTGGCAGGGAGTCGGGGGGAGATACTTCCGTGACGGGGCTTGAGGGCTGATTCTGGACACTGAGGAACAAGTCCTCTGCACGCGTGTGCTGCGCCGGTTGGCCCTTCTTCCATCTTTGTTGTCAGTCCTTCCACCTGAAGGAGCTCAAACATTCCAGTTATGGGTTTTATGTCCTTTCTCTCCCCTCCTCTTGCCGTGCTTTCATCCCTTCATGGCGTCGGCGGCGAGGCTCTCCAGAAGAGTTCTATAAATGTCCGAGCGGAGGAACCGCGGGTACGAGTCTCTTTCCATCAACCCGTAAACGATCTTCTGAGCGTCGTCAAAGCAGTGCATGGTGGGAGTCTTGACGTTCCTTTTGATCTGCTCTCGGGTGTGATAGTCGATGTTGATCTGGAATGAAGCACAAAGGTAGGAATGAGGGGATTTAAGCCAAGAGCAAAAGATGTGAGATTCAACATTTCAGCTGGCACTTCTCTCCTCTTTCAGAGGACTGCTTGCACTGACATATAAAGACAATATGTAAGGGAAACGGTGTCTGTGTGTGACTCTGAAGTTACCTCTTTAGGCGATTCTGCTTTAATGAACTGCTCATAAATCTTCTTGGCTCTTGAGGACATTCGGAATGAAGACTTGATCTTTTTGTAGTCCTCACACGTGAGCCAGAACTCAATGTTCTCGTCGCTGTATTCGGACTTGAGAAAGTTGCGAAAAGTAGCCAGTCCATCTGAGGTGAAGCAAATAAAACAAGCCCATTTTCAGCTTTTATTTAAAACAAAAAAAGAAGAAAAAACCCAAATCAGTCTGCCCAAACTGTCATTCTTACAAACACAATATTGTTTTAGCAGCATTCTCACTCTGAGGGGGAAAAGGAACCTACATTTAGACTCGAGAAGCTTTTCCAGTGACTGTGACCATTGTTGGGTATCTTCTAAACTTAGCCTGCTGGGAGAGAATGCAAGTTGGATTACTTAACAGAATCAAATTTGAGCAAAGCGAAGCTGTAAAGGGTGCGAGTCACACAGAAGCACACTCATTAAGAAAGCATAGCAGATGGGCTTATCGAATTCAGACAAAAATGCCGAACCCTGGGATATGCCGGGTTGGTGTGCGTGCTGTGCCAAAGCAAACATGGTGTCTCAGGATCATTTGAATCCTTTCAATGATGCCATAGATGGAAATCATAGGCGCAGGCTGGCTATTTTAAAACTGAAATGTATGCAAAACACTCCATAAGTCTCCTTACCTCTCAGAGCTGGAGGAGTGAGAGAACATGCACTGGAGTCGGCACATAAAGTTCTTTCCACTGTGTAGGGAATAAAAAATATATGAATATATCCCTGTTGCGTTTATTGCTGTTCGATTAGCTTCCAATGAATGTGTCAAAGAATGTTAGGAGGGCTGGTGTTTAGAAAAGACAGTGACTCGTGCCGTTATATAAGATGAATGGCTATTTTCAGAGATAGTATGAAGTATTTTTAACATATTTTTTATGTCACCACACTATTTGCTATTAAACAGCTCGAGATTTTCTCGTCAAGCTCCAAGTCAGCACATTTACTGGAAACTCCAGCTCAGCGTTAAAGTCAAAAGTTTCACTCACATGTTTTTGTTTCTCTTCCTGTCATCTCTGTCCATGATGAAGCGCTGTGTGTTGGGTGGTTCGACGATTAAGCTTGGCATTGTTTTATTAAGTCCACTCTCTCGGGCTCTCGGTCCTGGTCATGCTGTGGCTGAGAGACACTTAGGAGGATTCCCCCTGCAATGCAGCTTTTTATACCAAGGTTTCCTGTTGACGGTCTGGGGTTGATGGGATACATCAGAAGCTTAAACTAAAGAGGAAGCACCCCTTCCTTCCCTCCCTCTCCTCCTCCTTCTACCTCACAGTTAGAAACAACACATACTCACTCGGTGCTTTGCATGCATGTCTCCCTCCCTCGCCTTGATGCCTTACTCCCTATTATGTCTCTGCTTCTTTTCCTTCCCTTCTGCTGTTGCTGCTCCTTCCCGCCTCCTAACCGGACTAGCCAAACAAACAGCACTCTCTGTGGCTGAAAGCTTGCTGTGTTCCCATTATTTTTAGTCTGCCAGCACAGATGCAAATGACAGCAACAGTGACTTTGATAGGCAAATCGTGACCTTCGCACGCTGTTTGTGTAGTGAGTCCATTAAATGGGATGTAAAAGAGAAGGCGGTCGAAACCAAATATTGGGATTGTCCTTCTGTCTTTCATATTTAACATTTTTTGATCCCAAAAAAGGGAAATTCGTCAAGATGTGGTAGAAATGTGCACAACACAAGGCTACATGAGTGAGAAAGAGGAAACAGCAAATTGATTGCAACAGAGAGGCTCCGCAAGGCAGGAAGCCAGAAAGACTGTCAGAACATCATATCCTGACCACTCTCATCTTTCAGCTGCAGAGTTATTACTTTATTATTGAAGCCTTCCACCATCGTCAAACTGCAGGCGGAAATCCTTATATGGTGGCTAAAACTAGTGTAAAAGGCGGGAAAAAAAAAGTTGCAGCTTTAATCCAATGCCAAATATCTCCAGAAAATATAGAAGGGTTTGGAAGTGCCTCAAAAAACAGAGGGTATTCTGTCAGCCCTCACATCAAGCACGATTTGTAAACTACAGAAAAAATTACAAAAGAAAAGAAAGAAAAGAAACGTACAGTTAAATTTTAGGCAGATTTTACCGTTAAAATGAAGAAAGTGTAACATCAACCCACACAAAAGGTAGACATCCAGCAAAGTCAAGTACTATGATAATGAGCATGATGTCATTGCCAATGTCAGAGACCCATACATATTTGAAGGGCCCCAATGTTTTACATTTGAGCCTGTTATTTATTTAAGGGACAGGGGAACAGACGAGAAGTGAGGAGAACCAACCGAGGTCAGCCAGAACTTGTGGCTGTGGCCAAAGAACCTTTAATGAACTGGATGGGGTCTTGGCAAGAACTAGCATTAGCTGAAATTAGCATTAGTTGTGGTGACCCTTCACATTTCATGTTCCTTTCAGTTTTGCGGTGATCTACAACAGATATTTTCTCTGGCATTTAAGTAGACGTTTCTGCTGATAATTGTAGCACAGAAAAGAACTGTGGGAATTCAAATCCCAAACTCTTATCTTAAAGATAAACTAATTTATGTGTTTGTCTTTCGGCTACATCTGAAGGTTTCAAGTAAACTGTTTGGAGCAAATGGTTGGATGAGAACAGTGTGCTCTTTAGTAGAGTAAATGTCAGAAGGCATTCTTGGTCTCATGCTCATAAACTTTGAAACTTCTAAATGTGCTAACGATATTGCCAGAGAAAGCCCCTGGTTTAAGGTGTTGTCAGTCAAGGTTTCAAATGATGATTGTTGAGCGAAGGTCTTTGTTTGAAACCCACCTTAAGATGGAAGCGATTTGTCTATTTGGATAGACAAATGGATGCTGGGCTTATACAGGTGTGGTCAGAAGTTTACATACATTTATTGGAATGGATATAATTGGAATTTGGGGCTTTTCTGGATTTTTCTTAGCTGTTCTTTTTCTGGTGTGAAATAACTGTACAGCATACTTTTAAATACTTAAATAGTCTTTAATCACTTTAAAAAACAAGAACTGGGTATACAACTTTGAATTTATTATGGATATTTTCCTAATCCACACAGGGTGAAAAGTATATACACAGGCTCAAACAGCCTGTGTATATACAGTCCAAGCAGGTTAGCGAATACCTAAGAGGGAAAATGGTAGATGTACACAAATTGAGAAGTCTTCTTTGGAGCCATTTCTAAACAATTGCAGATCCCAAGATCAAGATCATCATAACATAAGTAGAATTTTTATAGATGTGACACAACTTTGTCAAGCTATAGAAGAAGACCCAGGACATCATTCTTAGAAAAGCAGAAACTGGTTAGGATGTTTGGGAACAAACAGGGACTGCCATTTATTGGAAAAAGCAGGAACACCAGTCTCACTGTCTATTATGAAGCAAGTTTTACATCACTACAAACTGAAAGAGCGCCAACCATGAAACAAGCCCCTGTTTCAAAACCAACCATGCCTTACTGAAACATGCAGTCAATCTTGACAAGCCAAATGCCTCACGAAGAAATTCTTATGTTCATGCAAGATAAAGATTGACCTATTTGGCCACAATGACGCTATGTTTGGAAGAGTAAAGGTGAGGGATTCAAACCTAAGAACACTGTACCAGCTGTCGAGCATGGTGGTGGTAGCTTCATGGGTGGGTCTGTTTTGATGCCAGGAAAGTGGATGCAGTAATGAAGGAAGAATACTTCCAAACTCTTCCAACTTCCGCTCAGATGAACAGCTAGATTGTTGAAACTTGAGCACAAGTTGGAACTGCCTTCTTAAATGGCCTTGTCAAACCCCCGACTTCAACCCTGATTAAAATTTGTGTACTACACTTAAAAGCCAGGTCCATTCCAGGGAACCAACCAATTTATGAGGAAATGTGCCAAGAAAAGTGGTTAAACATACAGCCAAAATTACACCAGAACCTTTTTGATTGCTACAAAAAGCGTCAGGTCAAGAGCAACTTGTTAAGAGACATTTAACCAAGTAATAATATTTGAGCCTGTGTGGATTTGAGAAAATCCAAAAATAAATTCAGTTGTGCACCGAATTCTTGTTTTTTTTTTATTTTTTTAGAATGATTAAAGATGTATGCTGCACAATTGTTACACAATGGAAAAAAAAATCATAGAAATTGTTAGAAGCCCAAAATTACCATGATATTTATGACCATGAAGAGTTTAAGTAAACTTTTAACCACAGCTTCATTATTATTGTTTTTGGAGTCCACCTATAACAAAATTTGAAAAGAAAAAAACATCCCTGATTTGAATTTTATCATTTGTACAGCACAGGAACTCTTCCAGGAAGTTCCTATTTGACTAGAGCGCTTATAGGTCTAGTTTGCATATGGGACCTCCTCCTGTCTGTCAAGATGAAGGGGCTACAACTGGGCTAAAACACATTGTACTGGCATATGCTCGCAATTCGGGTAGTTTGCAGCAAATCTTCATATATGCCTCAGTTTGTATATAGTAGCCTGTTTGATTTTGATACCCTTTGGGCTTCAACACTCTGGTGGTCAGTTTGGCACAAGTTGAAGTTTGCATGTAATTTGCAATGGCTTTTGATCTGCAGAGTTGCAGAACTTTTCAACAGCATTGCTTTCACTGCAATGTATCGCCCAGTGTAGGAAAACACAATTATGGGACATTAAACAAGCAAGGCCGCTCTGGGTTATCACTCATTGGTTACAACTCTAATCAATGTACTGACAATAGTCACTATGGTCAGTTTACATTTAAAGCAAAAATAGATCAGGTTATTATCAAATGTAGCCCATAGCCTTGCACTTCCATGTAGACCCTAGCTGGGAGTGTGACAGTACTGAGTCACACCATCTGCCTCTGCCTTCACATGTTGCAGAAGATTTCCTACTGATTTTGTATAGAGAGAGGATGTTGGTGCTTTATTCATTCTCATCCTTGACCACATAGCACAGAAATGTATGTTCACCCCCCCCCCCCCCCCCCCCCCCCCCCCAAATCAATAGAAACAGCTTTGCATTGACATTGTAGCAAATACACAAAACCAGACAAAAATAGCAACTCTGCAATCTTATTAATATTTGGTAGTGTGAATAGATTTACTGTTAGAGGTGTGAAAGCCCAAAGCAAGTGCATTTCACAGATCTAAGATGCGAACTTTGGTTCCTAACTGGGGAATTTGAAGTCTTTAAAGCTTTTTGAAAGCTTCCACTCGAAACCTGATGCCATAGGCTACCCTGTTATAATCTACCCTTAGGCTTTGCCTCACTGAGGCTTCCCTTTTTTGCCCAAACACGGTTATAAGTACTGAGGCGTTGCGATAGTCACCAAACACTGAGAGGTGAAAGCTGCATTCCCTGTCTGAAGTTAAAATGTGGACAAGCACATCAGTGTATAAGATTTAACATTCAGCATCCAGCTCTTATAGGAAAGTTCCTCCTGACCGTAACCGTCTTGACTAACACTGTGCCAGCAGCAGTACTCACTTCCTTTTCGCTACCATGGTAACGGTTGTGGGCTATGAGAAAACAGTGACAGATTGTGTGCCATGTGATGGAGGAGATGTGAGACCTCTGTCGTTTATCAGGAACAACCCGTGACACTCTGTGTACTGAGAGTTTTCTGACGTACGACTGTACACCTGCAAATAGTTTCAGCCCAAAATTACAATCAAAACTAAGTCAACCATAACATTTCCTACAGTATCCACATAAAATTAGAGTGAGCACTTTCAACCTTTTCATAGCACACATGGATTTTGTCCTGCTTTAAAACTAATTTTAACCTTTTAACTTAATTGTAATGCTTTCAGAGTTTACATTCAAAAAATTATTCCACAAAATACTGACTTTATTAAGCAATTTGCTTACATGTAAATTTTCCATGTAATTTGCTACATATGTAATAATAATGTAAAACATTAAATTTAATGGAATCTGTTGATTGGTGTACATTCGGTTTATACCAAGAATATTTTTTAATGCTTAATTATTTGATTAATTATACCTTTAAATTGAACATTTCAGTTGCATTTTACACAAAATTATTGCTTTATGTTCATGAGGGAAAAGTATTTTTTTCTTTTTTTGTGTGTAATTATGAGATTAAGGATCCAAAATAAACTTTCCAACAGCTATATCTCTGAAACACAAGTGGCCCTGGATATAATAAATAAAAATAATAATATTGTTATTAAAAGAAAGAGTTGTGGTTACTAGTCCATAGAAAAATAGTATGAGTGGGTGTGTCTCTATAAAGATATTTCTCCCTGCAGTAGGTTGGTGTCTGAAGCTTTCTGGTTTCTCTCTGCGACTATGAAACATGGATTTTGGGACATGACTAATTGTAGGTTCAGTTGCAAAGTTTTAAAGTTTGCATTTTCGCTGTAGTCAGCTCGGCAACTTAAAACTGGAAGAGCGAGCGGCTAATTTGACTGAGACTTTATCATCCTTTTTTCAATCTAATGGCAACCATAGTTTACAAAATGAACATGATATAGAAAACACTTCAGTCTAGAGACTGATACCATAGAAAGTCTTTATTGAGGTCATACATCGAGGAAGCCAAGGGGTCATGTTCCCATAGAACCATAAAGGATGTTCTGCTGTTATACTGAGTGTATGATTTCTGTTTCTATTTCCCTCAACGTCCAAATAGCATTAGAGCAACCTTTCTCACATCAAAGTAAATAGTTTGCATGGAAAGCAATAGCCAAAACCTTTGGCTTTTGTCTGAAAACGTAAATCTACCATCGCTTTTTAAAATCCATATGCATTTCTATCTAATGACTAGTAACTAGAACAGGCAAACTCAAACTGAATATACACCTAAAGGCCCAATCTGTCGTCCCTATAATGGCAGCTGACTAACAGACTGGGATGTGTTTAGACTCAACTGCCATGACACAAATATTTGTGTCATGCTGAAGTGGATGTTGATTGTAAACTAGCTAACATGGGGAAACAATATAGCAACATAGTTTCAAAGCCTTCTTCACTTGTGTTGGAACTACAAAAAAGTGAGCTTCATAGTTTGTTTTCATACCTTTCATTGGTGTTCTCTTTCATATGGTAGTACATGAACTCTGGACTTTCACCTTTATGTTAAAAACAGAGCAAATGCCTCAATATAGTATTTTAAAAATAGGATTTTCAGTCATAAAGCTATTAGTCTTTGACCAGATAGGGTTCAAATATCCTTTTGAGTAATGGTATGAGGCGCTTACTGTTGTAAAAAATATAAGCTACTGTCCTTTTATTATCAAGTCTGATAAGTGATGAAGCAGATTCTCTATGACCACGTCCTCTTTTTTTGCCCCACAGTACTCATCATGGTTGGAAAAACTGCTTAAATTTGTTAACAACATCAGGCCATGAGTACAAACCGATGTGACAAAAACCTTTATTAACGTGGAACTGTTTAACATACACAGTCTCTCTATTTTCATTTGAAAAAACCTTTCCCAGACTCCTCTTTTTGTAGTATTTTCCCCAGTCATTGTCTGTGGGTGATGAGATTATTCCCCTAACAAGGCAGCACATTGAGGGCTGATCTGTTACGCATCAGGTTGTCTGATGACTCCTGTGTTGTCATTTAAGCCCTTGAGTTATTATTAGCTGCCTCAGTACTCCTTTTTAAGGCACAATCTTTAGGAATAAGGCCGTTTACAGAACAGAGCGGGATCGAGGGTTAGAGTGGGGGGTTACTTTTTTCCAGTTTAGTAAACCCTGATGTTGGTGTACAGAGTCAGGCCCACACCTAATTAAAGGATATATTAGACATGTGACTGAAAACAGAATCCCTTTGCTGGGTAAGCTGTGGAAACTGTTATCCTTTATTTTGACTCATGCCCTTCCTCATGTCTCAGTTAGTCAGTCAGATAAATATAATTCTGACTATATTGGAATAAAAAGAATACTTATAGATGATGAATGACTACAGTTACTGACTGAATTAGCCAAATTTGGGCAAGAAGTCCTAACATTTCACATCAGAAACAAGCTTAACTTACCTAGACTTTCAGTTAACACATACAGTATTTCAAAGAACCTTGAACTCCTCTAAAGTACTAACACATACCAACATTCTTTATACGTACATATCTCCACACTCACATTACTTTTCTGTCATTGTGTTTGCCTTGCTGTACTAAAGTCCACGGCATTTTATCAGTACAAAAAGAAAAAATGATATTGCACACTGTTAAAAAATATTTTTTTATGTTTGGGTTTAGAGTGAAACAGTAAATTAGTTGATCCAGGGATGGTAGCTCTCTTTAAAGGTACCACAGAGTCCTGGATTTGCGCTTTAGACTCAGGTAGGCATCTGAGTGCAGGAATCTTGGGCAAGAGTCTCTTTCCATCAGCAGGTAAACATGTTTCTGGGCCTCGTCAAAGCAGGAAAGGTTGGGTTTCTCAAGTGCCTGCTTGATCTTCTCTCTAACACGCTGGTCTACATTGATCTGAGAAGGAAACAAATGTGACAAGTCAACATATCATCATGTAATGGGTTCTCAAATTGGCTGTGTTTGTTTTCAATTTGTAAAAAGGTGCTTGAAAAACGTTAAATCCAAAATAATTAAAATGCCACCACCAAGATGTGCAAAATACACCCCTGGAAGGAGGTAAGAAAATACCTCTGAATCCTAGGGTTACATTTTTGAGAAAAAAAAAAGTCTATTTTGTGGTCAATTTTATTACTGGTACAATAAAAAAAAACATTAAATCAAACATTAACTTGCTAGCTCTCTTGTATGCTTTTCAACTCAGATGAAACTCCATGAAATTCAGAATTCTAGCTGCTGAGACAGATCACACACACACACACACACACACACACACACACACACACACACACACACACGCACACACACACACACACACACACACACTACTTGTCCCTAAAGAGTTTCCTGTCCTGTTTTGTTTTTTTAACTATGTTATTTCTTGCTCCATTTGTATTTGGATTCTGCTTTTTCTTTGTAATTGAAATACTTCATTCTTTCAAAGAAACATTGAAGAATATATAAAACATTTGGCTTGCCATTTAGCTGAATGATTACTATTGTATTGGTCTTGCTTCACTTCAAGTTGCAACTAATTAAATAAGAAACCATTGTGGAAGTTCCTTGAATGGCTACATAAATCAGTTCCCCATAGACTTTTATATTTCCACGAAATACAGCATTAAAAACATTTTAACAGCCTGCTTCAAAAAAACAAAAAAAACAAAACAAAACCCTAACATTATTCTCTGTGGGTAAAATCCCTCTTTAAGACAATGGTTTTTTTTAAAAATACCTTATTCATGTGGATGTTGGAGGTAGGAGTGTGACTGCTTATCCTGTCACAGGCAGCTGGTGGCCTTAGTTCTCCAACTCCAGTTATTAAAGTGGACTTCTTCCTCTTCCCTTTGTCTATTGTGTTATTGCCTTTTAGAGGACTTTAATTAAATTACCTAACAAATAATATAGCATGCTGTGAGGTACAACCTGTATTAGAAGTTTGTGTTTCAATTTATGATTGCAGGTTGCTAACCTAGCACGCTAGCTATAGCTCATAACTTAAGACTCCAAACTCCAAATATGGCCACATCTCACTCCAAAAAACTAACAGAAATATCTAATCCTATAATAATGTGTAGTAGAATTAGTATCCAAGTGTACGTTGCTTGACAACCCCACATGATACATGTGCTGCTTACTTGCCACCACTAAGTGATTTCTTACTAGGAATGTATATATTTTGTGTGCAGTCTGTGGTTCACAATGGGAAAATTCTGTGCCATATTTGAAATGAATAAAACACTACATAACCTCCCTCCATACTCTTCTACTTTAACTTGTTTGTTGGTATTTTTACGTGTTCGGTATTGTTCTTACTGTCTTGTACGGAAGAGGATTAGGGCCACTGGAAAAAAAAAAAAAGAAAAAAAAAAGAAGTGGGCACGTCTTTTTTTTTCTTCTTCTTTTCCTAAATTCTGAGAATAAAGTCAGAATTCTGAGATTAAAGTCAGAATTCTGACTTTTTTCTCAGATTTATTTTCCAGTGGCCCTAATCCTCTTCCGTAGTCTTGGAGCAACTGTGACAACATAATTATCTCTGGGATTTCTTAAAGTATTCTGATTCTGATTCAGTGCATCTTCCCTGAAAATATGGCACAGAAAATACTGTACTAAAAGCACCAGAAGCACTGGAAGTTATGAAATTTGGTAATCATCTGCATTGCTTCACTGAATTTGTAAAAGTTTTGTACAGTTTTTTCTCTGATGCAATCATACTTTCCTCTTTTCTGTAATGCCAGTTTGATAAAATGCAGTTTATATTTGGGCCTACTTTTAGTTTACAAAGTTACTCAGAAAGTCCAAGAAAGTAATTTCTTCTTTTAAGTATGAAATATGATTTAGCTCTGGTATAACAGACAAACTGACCTCTCTGCAGGCTGTAGGCTGGATGAACTCCCGGTAGATCTCCTCTGCTCTCCATTGAAGGTCTTCTGGTGAGGTAGTCAACCTGAACTCCTCACATGCGAGCCAGAACTCAATGTTTTCCTCACTGAACTCAGACTGCAGAAAAGAGTGGAATGCTGCTAAATACTCTGCAAAGAGGGAAAGGGTTAAACATACAGAATTATTCATTACGTGAAATTCATTTGTAGAATCACATGGCTCAGTTTTGTGAAGAGTAACACTTCTTACTTTTGTCTTTTAGCAGTTTTTCCAGGTGAAGTTCATGGTCAGTCTGACAACTATAAGGAAATGATATATGGCTATTATTTTCTTTATAATATACACCATGGAGATGAAAATAACTAACACTTCCAATCATATGATACCTTAGCTTTGAAGAGTACATCTCATCATTACATTTCTGTACACTGACACACTGGATATCCTTCTTACGCCTCCTGCAGTTCAGTACAATGTCAAACCTTAAAAACAAACTCAAGTTCAATATGTTTGTTAATGTAAAGTTTATAAATGTAAACTTAGTATCATTAGTGTGCTTGGCTTACCTTCGTGGCTGCTTCATGTTGGGCATTAAATCCTTAAATTCGTAAAGTCGAATCCTTGAAAATAAGAGTTTGGGCATTTTAATATCCCTGTAATTCCCTGTAGGGAGATACAATAGCCTGCTGTGATATGTGTAAAAGCACTGTTCCCTCCTGGGCTTGTCCTTAAACTGCCAGGAAAGGTATACCTATGACGCTGTGGGCCTGCTGGTACCTGTATCTAAACGCCAATTGGATACGAATACAAATGTCTGTTGTTAGACTGATCTACCCTTGTTACTGACTCACAGCTGTAAAATTCCTATGGGAGAATTTTTTTTTCCGTTACTCAGATTTCTGGAAAAAGGTATTTAGGTGACTGATTGACTGCGTGATGTATGTGTAGTCCATATAGGGCGATATGAGCGTTTGCCTTTTACTTGTCTGTATGGAGATTCTAGATGCACTACCTATGCCATATTTTAAATCAGTACTTCACAAATGGTGTGCCGAGACATGGGTGTGCCGTAAGGGAAGTCCAGGTGTGCTGTGGGATCTTGTGAGAATCATGATTCATTTTTACAATGAATGGCAGGGCAAAGTCACGAATTAGCAGTTAATTTACTGATCAGTTGTTTGCATGCATTCATGTCCCTGAAAAAAGGCATAACATTTGTTAAAGGCAACCGACTGACCGTGATTGACAAGATTTGCTTGTGTGAAAGAGGCTATGATTACTTAACCACCAGCAGAGATGACCCACGATCTTAAAAACCCAGGGAAAAAAAACAGCTGTATTGGGATGTAAACATGCAGTAAAACAGGGATTGGATATTGTATCTATGTCCATTTTTTGTTGCTATGTGATGACATGAAGAGAAAAATTATGGGAATTCAACCAATTGGTGAAGATGTGATAACACATACAGTGAGCCCAGAGGTACTAACGGGTCAAATAATCTTGAAAAGGAAGGGCGCCAAGGAGATGATGCCATCAGATAAAAACATAGCTGACAATGGCTGCAGTGAACAATGTCAATTGTTTTTAACACTGTTTCACTCAAACATTTTTGACACTGTTGTAGCAGTGATATGGTATAGAGCTGTTATATGTCGACAAAGCATCTACGGATTACCAAGACAATCCCATGCATCCACAAATTTTTTTTTCCCCCATCAAAAATACCTATGACCTCATCTTCTGATGCTTCTTGCACACACTTGTTGCCAGGTTACAAATAAACATTTTCCTTCCTAGTTCAATCCCCACTTTATTTTGATTAGTTGGCGAGAGACATTAAACATGGATGAGCGCAGAGAAGATTCAAAAGTTGAATCGTTTTGAGCTGAGTGCAGAAGCAAAAATGAACTTGGGGTTTTTATTTTTGCCGAGGACTCTGTGAACACGGAATTTCATTTGTCTAGATTTGTCTAGAACATTAGGCACTACAGGTCAGTTTGTATTTGTAGGCACAGGCCCTAAGCCACCCATTGGCAAACATTAGCTAATGCTATCACTGTGCACAGAAAATAAAGAGGAACCAACCATGCCTTCAGAGACAAACCTCACCTATTTCTGAATCAGAGTGCTGGATCTGAATCAGAGGGAGCAAAACTGTGAAACTGTCTACATGACAGTCTTGATTTTCAAAATATTAAAAGTATTTGATGAATTGGACAAACAGACTTGTACATTTTCTTGTGTAAAATAATAAAAGTAGAAACAAAGACAAGGCATAAAAAGGCTGGAATGTGCTTGAAAACTGCTAAAGTACCACACCCTTGAATCACTCTTTTTGCTAATTTGATTAAATGATAAGTTAAATATATTCTGCATACCAACAATAAATTGAACGTCATGGTAACAAGTGGCTTTCAAGTGAGAGCGGCATAACTCTAACACCCTAAATATTGGGTTGCAAGGCAATACATTGTAGAGCTAATGCCCTCTGATTTTAAGCAGGCTCCTGGACAATTGACCACCAAGTTGGGCCTTTGAAGGTATTGTTGAGGAATAGGGCCCAATAAGTCATTTGCAGGAAGCTCTTTAGATCAAAGACAGCATTATTTTTGTGCTGGCTATAAGAAGGACAACCAAAAAATGAAAAAGAATAACTCAAAAAAAGCTGTTTTGAAAACTGTGATGGCCCAAAAAACATGCGCACAGAAACCGAAACATGCACTGAGTCATACAAGGACAGAGTAGCAGCATTTTAAGGCACAGGATATTAGTAGGGAAGTTTCTATAAGTACTGAAACTCCTGACGTAAGTGACCCAGACAGTTCTGAGAACGACTCCTAAAACACAAATGTCCCCTCTTTACTGTCCCCATCAGCCTTAACATGCAAGCCTTAGACTATATGTGTAGACAAAGTTCCTCTTCTCTGATGACCCATATTGATATACTAATGGAAATTTTACAACACACAAAGTCGGTGCTTGTGTGCATTTTTGGGTGGGTGCGTTAAATCAGGTGTATCCATTTGGTGCTTTTCAAGATTCCCTCAGGGGTCTCGTTGTTGGGTATACTGCTGTGTTTGTGGTTAGGAGAATGTTGAAGTGGGTTTATTTCAAACTTTCCCCTCTAACACTACAGGAGCCGTAGTAGATGCACATGTGAAGCTGGAGATTTAAATTTTCAGTAGCCAACACCCTTAATATTGCATGCTTGATTGAACTGCACTTTCACACCAGGGCATGAGAAAATCCACAGAATACAGAACAGCTCTTTGTTAATCAATGTCTTCATCATGGGTCCATTGAGTTTGTGAAATTGCAACGTTGTGTCGCAAGTTCATTAAGTTGTAACAAATGGAAATGGCATTTTAATAGTCTATATAAAGTATTAGCATTATACAATACTGTACAATCTGGATTATCATTGTTACATTTATTAGCTTTGATATATTGCCCACTTCCAGGTTAATGTCTCTTGTACACCCAAATAGGTTGTTAATCTGCTAACTGTGCACAAGCTATAGATAATAGCATGGCTAGCTAACTAGATTCAACAATAATCTTGTAACATTCAAAAGAAATAAGAGCTTTTGATAATGCAGAGAAACATTCAGCGAGGTTATCAATCACATTTAAAAATCTATATCAAAATTGTAAGCCAACGATTATTAGATTTTTTTTCTATTGCTGTCCTAACTCCAGAAGCAGTGTATATTACCATGCCTAGCTACCTACTAGCTTCTGCAGTGACCTTGTAACCAGGTGTTTTTCAAAAGGACAAGATTTACATATAGTTATTTTGCGAGTCAATAAATTGAATATGTATGTAGAGATAATAGTTAAATAATGAACCAAGATGAAAATATAGAGTTGTCTAGAAAGAAAATATTATAGGGTCATTTAGACTAATTGCAATGGCATTTACTGAACAACTGGTTATACAAAGTATTTTTTCATCTGCATTCTATTGACAATAATTTAAATCAAACTTCATATTTTGAACAATCTCTTTCTATGTTAAAGTGTAGCTCTTGCCAGAAACAGAATGTGTTTCAGGTGTGATGCACGTAAAAGTTCTGTATTTGCAGCTGTTCAACATAAGTAGCAAACATGACTTTTAAAGTTTCTTTTAAGTTTAAAGTTCCTTTTAAAGTAAGTTTAAAGTGGAAGCATTATGTAGGCCTGTACATATGATAGAGGATACTACAGAATCTGCTGTGTTACAGGAGAATTATAGACTAAATGAAATACACTAAACAAGGGAAAGCCTCATGCTTTAACATATGCTGAAATCATTTCTTTAGTCAAATAAATGTAAATAATATGACCCGAATACAGGCTAAAATAAATTATGATAAGTTCATACAATTCAATTTCTAAACTGGAACTCTTTGGACCGTGGATAGAATTAGAAAGGTAAGGGTTGTATGACTATCCCAAGGATCAAACATACAGAAAGGACCATCACATTGTAGAAATGGTTCATTTTACTATAGGACTTGTATTCAGCATTCTTTTAAATAATAGACATTGAAACATGATTTTAAAGCAGCATTTAAGCTTCCCAGTGCATGAATTGACCTCAGCAATTAAGATAATTTCTAATAAAATAGTAATCCCAAGCATGCCTTTATCAAGTATGTGAAATATCTGAATTTGAATCCCACTGAAAGTCTCTGTGGGATCTACAGAAAAAAAGCAGTTTAGGCATAGAAGAAAATTAGTAAGCTGGAAGCTTTACCTTAAGGAATAAGCTAAAATTGGAAGTTTAAATGTGTTTGAAGATTGAATCATTTTCCATTTTTTAACATTGTGTCTCAAAATACATCTTAAAAATGCTCTATTTAGTTATCTTTTTGAAATAGTTTATCATGACTGGCTGATATTTTTTCACTGAATTAAATTTGCATTAATATCTTGGTTAATTTATTTATCTCACCCTGCTTTGTTTTTATAGCCTTTAAAGTAAATGTTCATGTGTGCCTGGGCCGGCTTGAGATTTTGCAAATGGGCAACAACCTGCTACATGAATTATTTCCTGTTAGTATTTTTATACTTGATGCTGTTTCTAAATGAAAATGAAAGGCAAATGATAAGAGACCAGAAAGAAGAGCAACAGCTAGCCAGCTTATCTCAGTGATCCTGACACAGATTGTATTCCTTATAAGGTAAACTACACGGGACCCATTCAGTGGCCCAGGTGTCATTCAGGAGTCATTACAACAAAACCACTCCACAGCTTCATAAAAGTATGATTGGAGTCATAAAATATTCCAGAGATTACATTTTTTTCATGCAATTTACAAAAAAGTGGAAAAAACGGCTCTGTGCTAATTAGCTTGTGATGAGTGACGCTAGTAATGAGACGTCTTCAAGTTAACAAAACAGGTTTCAGTTGTGCCCTTTTTGTTCTCGAATTGTTTTCAATTTAAATATATAAAGTAATATGATTTTAATAGATTAAAATCTCAATTGTTTGTATATAGATGGTGAAAAATTTTAACTTCCGCAGTGAAACACTGGAGCTTACTCAGTCAAGAGGTGGGTTATCAATGAGAGTCAGCCTTTTGATTACAACACATTAAAAAAAACATGCAGGGCAGGGCACTTCCAGTTCTGCGGCTGCATGTGACACTTGCAAAACATTGTGGCTCTACAGCCTTGTCTTCTTCAGTCTAAAACATCAGCTAGCCTGACTGACAGTTTA